TAGGAGGTTCAAAGTCGAAAAGAGAAATATTTTGAAGACCAAACTCCCCCAGAAATTCAAGGTAGACTGTTTATATGAGCCTTTTGTCTTCCCTCAGCTCTTGGTGTGGTATGGGGGAGACAGATACCCAGAATGAATATAGCAAGATCTTCATCTGACACAAATAATCTTAATACTGCTGAAAATAATAGGAGTCACCTGCAATTTAAACCACTGTAGAAAAAAAGTCATTTAGATTAGAAATTACACCTATTACTGTAAATAATAGTATTAAACATAATAATAGTATTACTGAAACAAAAGCTTTTTAGCTGTGCCAAGTATGTAGATTATATGTAGGAATTAAATCTACCAGTGTAAACCAGGTACTAAATAACTAAACAACATCAGAAAAACCATTAGCAAATCTAGCAAGAGGATTTTTTAATCTGACATGATCTAACTTTACATTTGTAAGTAGATTCCTGTCTTCCATCTCTCTGGTAATTTAATGTACATACAAAAGCATATAATTTCTAACTATTTCCATCATTTTGTGCCCAAATCCAGTGGCCATTTGCATACTGGATATTGTCTACCTGCAGCTAATTGCACTGCTGATGGCTGGTGATGGTTGACAATGATGCAGACTGCCAGACTCCTTTAGGCTACTTTCAAATGTTCTCATCTTCCTGTAAAAAATAGCCTTTGAAATGCCATTTGACACTGCAGCTGGCCTTAAGTTACCTACAGCAGGCTGTGTAATTTATAAATCACATGTGGAATGTGATTTAAAAAAAAAAAAAAGGTCAGATTTGGGTTGGATGTCCTTAGCTTTGGAGGCATAGTGAGCTACTGACCTCTAGTTGAGAAAAACAAGATAGCTATTAGCTCTGGTCCTGCTTCTAAAATATATTTTCTTCCTACGTGCCAGTCTGCAATGTAATTTATTTTGCTTCTTGGAGGCAACAGGCAAAACTTTCATATTTTTCCAGTCAACTCATTCAAACCATTTAAAATGAATGGGAAAGGTTTAATTTTCTAAAGATTTCTTTTTTTTTTTTTTTTTTTCTGCCCCCAGTAAAACTTTTGTCTGTGCTCACAGAAATTCAGCACAGACGTGAAATGAAATGACTGGCCATTAAAACAGCAGAAGCCGAACAGAAGCTGGAGGACACACTGTTCTTGGAGCAGCTTTTCCATTTGAAATGGTACAAAGAGGAAAACTGAACATTGTATTTACTTCTCCTCTAAACCATTATTTCTATTACAGACTGATCAAAGACACAGGCTGCACACAGTGTGCAAGATACAATATTTTATGTATTTATACAAATATACATACATGGTACAATATATTGTATTGTACATAATATAATACAAGAGATCAATACTTTTTGTCCTTTGTAAAATCACATCATAAATGATGAGGAGGGAAAAGGTAACAGCCTCAGGAATTCAGTGAGATCCCCTGATATGTTAGGACTCATCCGGTAAAGTGATGAATAGTGAGGTGCTTAGCACCAGGCAGGATTAAGTTCTCAGCTCTTACTTAAATGCATTATGCATTATAAACTCACAATATTAATCCACAAATCATGATTACCAGCCTATGAATATCTCCCTAATTTCTGTGTCTGAGACTTTAAAAATAGTGGGGCTTTTTTTTTTTTTTAATTTTTTTTTATTTTTTTTTATTCCTGTTTTCCTTTCCCTGAAATGTTTTGGATGCTTATAAAAGGATCACAGGATGAGTATAGGATGAGTAAATCACCTGCAGAAGAAATAAGAAATCTGTACTTTCTATCCTTCATAGAATAAATCAAGATGTTCAGTTAATAAATAGAGGCTAATGAGGGTGAAGTATGAATGATTTATTATGCTTGCTGGTTTTGATAGTTGTCAGTATCTACCTTTTACCTCCCTTCTTTATCTCCTGAATACAAATGAAACATTTCACAAAAGTTTCACTTTGCTGTAAAAACTTGGTTTCTTCCACAGTGTTCCTGTATTTGGGAACAAATCTTGTGTCTCACCTTAAGGTAAGGAAATTGTAGTGGATCCTGTGCAAAGATGACACTGTCAGACAGAACCAGTGACGCTATTTCTCTCCCACTCCTCATAGGTGAGGTACTGCATTGGTGTGGTTTGGTGTCACACTAGGAGGGTTTGCTGGGTTTAATGGGCTTCTTTCCCCTGGCCAAGGAAATTTATGTACTCTCAGTAATGAAATGGACAATGGAAATTGATTTACTTGCTATGAGTACAGATGTGACCAAACTTGTTCCCATTTTGAAAGGTGAGATCAAGATTCAGGGTCGTCTTGGCAAAGTGGAGAAAGATCAATGCTGCAATTTAATAATGATGAGAAGCAAGCCAAACCTTAGGAAGTCATAACCAGTGCCACAGGTTATGGACAACGATGGAGCAGGCAGTAGTTCTGTGCTAAAGATTGCAATAATTTTGTGAAAACACACTTCAGGAAAACTGCTCCAACCAGAATACAAAATAATGATCTGAGGAAGAGAAAATAAAAATTTTGAAGGAAGACAGAAAGAAAAAAGATTGATTTGTCCCCAAGAACAAACTAAGAAGAAATAGGTTAAAGTATTTCAGCCAAAATAAAGTGAAAAAATAAAGATAAAATCAGTCTTTTCTATCCTCTGAGGGCAGGACTGGTGTAAGGTGGATAAGCCCCCTTTCCACCTTTAAGGGTATTTAAACACTGGAGCTGGCTGTTTATATTGTAGAATTTTTATCACTATCTGTTTTATGAACATATTAAATAATAATCTGATGAAGAATAGTGCAGGATATGAGCCTTGTATGAGGGGAAGGACAAATAACTGAATTAGGCCTTCAATCTAAAACTGAACTGTCTCACAGACTTCTTTCCCAAATGCACTCACTTCTGTAATGTCAGACTCTGCCATCAGACTTTTGACTTTTTCTGACTTTTGTGATATGGGAAAAATTAAAAACATTAAATATATTCTAGATTTATGTTTGTGCATCAAAGACTAAGGTCTTGACTCAAATGATCATTGTTTAATTTGTACAAATTTAGATTCAGGAATCCTAACTTCTACTTTCCAGTAAAGTGTGTTTGATCTTATTCTGCTCCTAACTGCTCTTGATCTGTTAAAGAATAATAATAATGTGAATCTATTTTACTCTTAGGGGTGTTAATTAATACAGGATATGATATGTTTTAATGGGAGAATGGTTAAGAGTTTTCCATTGTTCTAAACAGAATATGTGTATTGGAATTAACAACACAGATGATGACGAAAACAAAATAATTTAATTGCTTTGGCAAATGGTACAAACAAGTGTAGACTGGAACAATGGTGTTAAATCAGAGTGCATTTTCTTATATTTGCTTGTGACTGTATTTATCATCAGGGACTTGGATGCATCTTCTCCTTTACAATAAAATGAGTGCAATAGTCCACTAACAAAAGGTTGGTTTGGAGAAGACATTTCTTTCACAGTAGAACATTCCCTTCTCTTTTTAAATGACATGGATTTAAAAGAGGATGTGAACATAGCACTGAATGCATTTATAGAATTGCTATGAAAGGTGAGCTGTTTCCAATTTTTATCTGACAACCAATTGTACCAGAGACATCCATAATCATCAGTGTCAGGACCTTCTAACCTGAAGATCCTAGCTAAAACAACTGATTTTTTTTTTCCATATCTAAAATCCCTCAGAATTTCACAGGGAAAAATATCAGTGTGAGTTAAAATCACAGTGACCTGACATTTGGCTCCTAAGTGGGACTTCACAAATCAAGCACCCATCATCTTTGGGTGATAATCTTACAAATGTAACTTGACAATGCAGATGGGGACATACAGCTATGTACATATTTAACCCAGTAATTTAGGACATTTTCCCCCAATAAATAGGTATACATTTGATCAATCATTTGAAATCAGAGAAATTTAGAAGATGCAGTGATCTAAACCCTTATCATTAGTCCTCCCTGTACTCACACAACACATGTCAATACATATCAAAAACTTTCTCCCTACTTTAGAAAAATGAATTTAATTGATTAGTGTGGTGGGTATGATTTTTTCCCTGAAGAATCTTTGTTTATATTAAAAAATATAAGTGCAAGTGGGAACATTTATCAATCTGAATACACAGTTTTGAGAAGTTATCAGACATATCAGCCACCTGGTATTTCAATAAATGTATCTCCTGTTTCATTCAGACATAACCCCGCTAAGATAATTAATAAATAATTCACATTTTGTCAGCCTTCTTAACTTTCCCTTAAGCAATGCATGGGCTGCAATATTTTACTTAACATATGATATTGTGAATTGAGGTTCTTGCAGTATGAAAGTGTTATGCAGTTTAAAGCAAAGGTATAATGAATAAAGAAAGAAAAGTTAAATGCTTCCAGGTAAATCAATCAGCAACCTATATGTTCCCTATGCTGCTCATTAAACATCGGCAAAAGAAGTTGTGAAACATTTTTTTATGTTTTTATTCATTTTACAGTGTAATAAAAATAATATTTTCCTTTGAATTTATATTTATATTTGAAACCCATTAATTTTGAGAAAGAGAAAATCAGTCCAAAATGGCTACAGGTAATGAGGTATGCTAAAGATGTGCTTCACAGAAAATAACTGAAAATAGTGCATGGTTACCAAAATATGCACTGAAACACTGTTTCTGAACATACAAATAAACTGCTATTTACACATCTACCCCTTAGGAGTTAAATGAAGAAATAATTCCAATAAATGGAGAACTTTAAAGCTTTATTTCCCATATTTAATATTATTAAATCAGGTGCATTGCACTGATAGGTGTGATATTGCTGCACGGGACGGGGAATGTCATGTGTTACATGACTCTTTTTTTATCCACCTTGATTTTTATCTGTGGGATCCCATGCAGATGGAACCCCACAAACCAGGCAGTGTGCAATAACCTACAAACTGTGGAGCTGCTATCTGTCAACACAACCCAAATACCAATTTTGTCTGTGCTTTACCTTATCCTTCTTCTGTTTCTCATCTTGATATATTTTCCAGTGCTCCCCATCATTGCTGTAGGCAAGCTTGTACGACCCCACAAACTGGACATGACCGAAATCTTTAGCTCCCTGGGTAATGATCCCAGTGATTTTTGTAGGGACGAGCAGGTCAACCTGAGTGGAACAGATATAAACAAAACAGAGGAGAATATCATTAGAACAGCTTCTGTTTGCAGCCTGACCTTACACCACACCAAAGCAAAATGGTGCAGCTCTCACCATGGCTCTCCCACAGAAAGTAATTTTCTTCCTCCAAGCTCTAAGTCAACCAAAACAGTGATCACCACTGGGAATGATCTGTAGCTAAAAAGTGTTCCCACATGTTCCCAGTAATCAGATTCCCCAAATGCCTTTCCATTTCCTTCACAGCCCCAGAACCCATGCTTTACTAAGTTTTTTAAAACATTTACTATCATGCTTCTTTTCCTGCTGAAATTTTTTCTTTCTTAATGCCTTTCTTTCTTTTTCTATCTCTATACCTCAAACTTTCTCATTCCTTAATTTTCCTTTTTTTTTCTTTTGAGTTGTTTATTTTGTAATCTTAGCACAAGAATTTCAAAAATGCAAGGCAGAAATCTTAAATCCTAATAAAATCTGAGTTTTCAAGTGGCTTTCACATGGGTAAGCCCACCTGTGATTGGACTTTTTTGTACCAGAACCCAACACTGAATATAACGGATTTGAGCCAGATGCCTTGGATTAAAATGATCAAGGAAAAGAATATAAGAACAGAATTAAATTCAATATTAATGTATTTTCAGAGGAAGAATGAAGAGTTGAATAATTCCCTATAAAAACTGACATTTTCTTGAAATGGGAGGGTATAACTGAGGTTTCATTTCGTGTCCCCCAGCAATGTGGCAAGTCAATAAAAAAAAAAAAAAAGGTAGATTTATTTCAAATAAGAAATGGCTGTGAAGCAGCTGGCATTTTTAATACTGTCCATTAAATCAGGCAAGAGAGACTAACAGTAAAAATATTACAATTAAATGAGAGGAGAGCTGAACTCTCTGAGAAGATGACTAATAAGTTTTTTCAGAAAAAAAAATATTATAAAGAGAATGTGAAAAAGTTAAGAATCTCTGGCCTATCTAAATGCTGAAGATCCAGTGTTGGATTTTTTGAAAGCAGCCTGGTCTGGTGGAATGTGTCCCTGCCCATGACAGGAGGTGGAACGGGATGAGCTTTAAGGTCCCTCCAACCTAATCCATTCTGTGATTCTATGACTCTATAAAGAAGAAAACACAGAAAAGTGTAAGAGTGCATTTATAACAACAGAAGAGGAAAAAATTACTCTTCGGAGCAACCAGACAAGGAAGCCTGGAGATCCCAACATTTGAGAAAAGAGTAGAAAATAACGAGTAGTAAATCCTTTTAAGAACAGAAGTAACTTAAAAATATTCAGTACTGAGATACCACAGTCTTAACCAGAAAATGTCAGTGTTCATGGGTGTCTCAAGAATTTTGGTTTTACCAGAATGAACTAATTTATTGCCCTCTGGTAGCAGCAACATTACTCAGGGGAGCACTCCAGGATATGAGGGAAGTATCCATGGGAGGCAAAACTCTTTCTGTGTTCTCTATGTTCAATGGAGAGAGAAAGAGAAGAACCCAATCAACGACCCCTCAGAGCAGGAGTCAGTTTTGAATGCTTTCATGGATGGCCTGATGGACTTTTTTCCTTCTATAAGGAGTCCACGGGTGCTTGCTTCCACAGCCTAAATGTGTCTCTGGGAAATGAACACTGCTAATTAGTATAGATCTTTCATGAATTAATAAACACCAGGTTTCCAGACCTTCCTTCCAAATATTTTGAGTCTAAATGAATAGTCTGTTTTTCAAAAACAAAACAAAGCAACAACCCCAGCCTGACCTGGTAAGGAATCACTAATTGGTCAACACTTTCAGGCAGCTTTTGAACTAAACATTTCAGAGTCAGCTTCAGATTCTCTTTGTAAATAATTTAGACATTAGCATTTTACAAGTGTAGCCTCTTTTTTGCAGAGAATGCTTCTTGTACAAAAAGTCAATGTCTCTCCTGTTAACTTGAAAAAATGCCTCAACAAAACCAGTTGTTTATTTTAAAATACTGAAAGTAAGCTGCAAGGATTTCACAAATATTTAACATGGCCATGAGACTTGGAGTACTTCTCACTGAAATTCAGAACAGGGAGAAAAAAAATTCTCATTAAGATTCAGGGGATTCCAAAGGTAAAATCACAATAAATCTTTATTATCATATAGATCCAGTGTTAATAAAAATGTCCTACTAACGATTGTTTTGTGCTTATAGGACATATCCAGTGGCCTTGTACTCTTGCTCAGAAAAATTATATGGGAAGCTGGAAGGTAATTTGGCATATGTTCAGTCTTTTTCAAAAAGACTTATATAGGACTATGCAGAATGTGTGTGTGTGTGTGTGTGTGTGTGTGTGTGTATTGTACTAAAAAAATGAGAAAAAATAAAGTAGTAATGAATAGACACGCTCTGCTCCAGGTCTTGACCATACAGACAACATATTACTGAAGGTGGAGGAACAGAATAAAGAATACAGCATCACCTTCTCCTTCTCATATTTTAGCACCTTATTTACTTATTTATTCATAAGCTGATGTAAAGTTTTCAGGCCACAAGATCATTATTAACTCAGCAGTAAAGAAATACAGCTTTTGCTCTCTTGCTTTATTACCTTCTACAAATGGTTAACACGCCTTCTTTTCATTCTCTGCATTGAAACCACTTTAGAGCAGAAAGGTGAGAAGAATTTACACCATTTGTAGGCAAAACATCTGCATCAAATTAGCTTAAAACAAAGTCATAACTTCCCATCAGGACGCAGAGCACATTTATTCAGTTAGTGCAGATTGCAAGTAACAGGCAATCAAACAAATTACCAGGGGGAGAAGCTGAATTAACACACAACCACTATGTACTCTTCAAAGCTGAATGTGATTAATTAGGATGTGACTCTGGGTTTTTCAGTGCAGCAGAATTTAGAACAAGGTAGGGGCCATTAGTCTGCAACTGGTAGGATCATTAGCTGGTTACAAGAAGAACTATGGTTTACAGTTAATGTACATTTCTATAAGCAGCTGATCAAAAAGCAGTTTAACATCTTGTGTCTGAAAGAACCCTCTCGGGCTATAACTATTCCCTTTTTCCATCTTGTTTCAGATGTTACAGATTATTCCGTGTGATTTGGAGGAAAATTAATTTAAAGAATGTACAAAGATAAATCCACCTGAGTATGAAACATTGTTAACAAACCGTACCCCGGATGTGCAGTATGTACTCCGTGTCTGTGCAGTTAGATGTGTAGTGATGAGTACTTGTACTGGAAATAGGTCTTCTGGATCAGGTGGAACAATGCCTCTGTTGCCCAGAGAAGCTGTGGCTTCTGCATCCCTGGCCTGGAAGTATCTAAGGCCGAATTGGATAGGGCTTGGAGAAGCCTGGGATAGTGGAAGGTGTCCCTGCTCACGGCAGGAGGTAGGACTGGATGGGCTTTTTAAGGTCCCTTTCCACCCAAAACATCTTGCGATTCTGTGATTATGAAAACAGTCACATGCAAGCCTTGCCTAGTCCAGAGCCAATCAACCGCAACTCTCAGAACTCTGAGTACAAACAGTAACCTAACACTGCCAAGTCCACCACTAAACCATGGCCTTAAGCACGACAGCTACACACCTTTTAAATCCCTCCAGGATGGTGACTCCAATACCTCTTCCAGTACTTTACTACCCTTTCACTGAAGAATTTTTCCCTGATCCAACATGACACTACCCTGGCACAGCTTGAGGTTGTTTCCTCTGGTCCCATTCCCACTTCCCCCCCCAGCTCCACCTTTCTGTCAGGCAGTTGTGGAGAGCAAGAAGGTCCTGGGCCTGCTTTTCTCCAGACTGAGCCCCCCCAACTCCCTCAGCTGCTTGTCATCAGACTTGTGCTCCAGAAGAGCACATAAATAATAAGCCATTCTGTCTGTGGACAGAACCCAGGAGAGGAAATGGGCTTCTTTCATGACGTCATGTGTGGAAGGTGAAGGACCAGACAGCTCACACAGTCTCTCCTGGAAACAGAGATCTGTGCTGCAATTCTGGCTTAGGAGAAGACAAGCCTCAAGAAGACACAAATGGCAGAAATCTCCATGACCTCACAAATTAATAGGGGGTTTGGATCAGGTCATAGAATCCCAGAAGGCTGGGACCTTAAAGTTCATCCCTTTCCAACACCCTGCCATGGGCAGGGACACCTTCCACTAGACCACGTTGCTCCAAGCCCTGCCCAGCATAGCCTCGGACACTTGCAGTGCAGCCACAGCAGAAGAAAGGACCATAAGGATTCAGGGAGCACCAGACCCTATTTCACAGTGAAGATAATGGTGAAATGGCTTACTCGACCTTCAGCTGTTCATCTCCTAATTTTAGGATTAGTCTTAAAATTTCAGTCCTCTCCTTATACAGATAATTATGTTTCTGCTCCCAGTATAGTTAATTCTATGCTCAGCTTCTCTTGTAATTTTTGAGGTGCCATTTTTTTCATCATGTTTTTTTTTATTTTACCTTTGTGATTTTGTAGATTTTTTTTTTTTTTTAATCACTTGTCAGATAACATTGATGAATTCTGGGTAACTCTACTCTACTTGGCCACTAAAAAACACCAGGATCAAAAAAAAAAAAACCAAACCCGGTTCAACACAAGGTGGGGGAACCGTTGGTTGCTTAAGGCTCTTACCCTTAAGAAACTGAAAAAAAAGAAGGTTCTCCTGGTCTTCAGCTGCTAATTCACCAAGGTCCCAGATCACCAAGGTCACCAGATCACCAAGATCACATATGCTGGTCTTGCAATGAGGTCTGAGATATTTTGGGATGCTCAAGATAATGGCAGGCAGTTATGGATAGGCACCTGAATCCCACCAAGATGGTCCAACGTACTTAACAGGTAAATAACCTGTGCTGAGCGGGTTTTTCACTGTTTATATAAGACCTCGTGATTCCCTTGATTTTTTCAGGGTAAACTGGCACACTCAGAGGTTGCCACCTGCATTCAAGCCTAAGAAAAGCAGGGGTAGAACTGCAGTGCCTGCATCATAAAGGTCAGAAATGCAACTCTCCTT